AGAGAGAGAAACCAACTTTGGCTTTTAGTTCAGTGTGTGCGGACGTGTCCGACAACATGCAAACCGAGAACCTGAGTAAAGATATGACTGTACTACAGCTCGAACATCAAGGCATCAGATATTCAAGTCAACTTTCATCTCTGCAGACTATCCTTGCGGCAAAGATTATTTGCTTGAAATGAAAAATATAGTAAGAATGATGGGGTGGGGATCCATATGGCATCAGCTCAGTCATTTCAATTGAAATATAAATAAGGTAGAAGTCTTTAGAAATCATGCCATCATTTCACTCAATTCAAATATACTTTTGGTAACCACTGATAATCATGCACAGTCGTGGCAGCTTTTGATGCTGCATCTGTCATGGATTAGTCAGCATGTAACATGTTCTTCTAATTAGGCGACTCTTGCTGCTAGGCTTATACTAAGACACAGCCTGACTGCTGTAGGGCATTGGAAGCCCTGCAGGAGACAAATGTTACACAAGCTGAATTCTACAGTAAACACTCAGGGCTGAATACATGTGTAATGTTCAAAATGCAGCCAAAACAATGCGTCATGTACAGTGTGCATGTGTGTTAGTGGTTCACGTATGAGTGCTTAATGCTTCATGTTAATGAATCCATTTGCTGTTGTTGCTCTACCACTTGCTCACCTCAGTCTGTGCCTTCAGAACACATCACATGATCAACAGACCAATGAAGCTATTACATGGAACTCTGTAATATACATGGACACACTACTGGGAGAAGTAAAACAAATAATGACAGGTCTTCCTGGCTACTTTTCTCTCAACCTCACTGTTTATCTTCTTTCAGTAAGCTGCCTCTCCGTCCTGCTCTGATTGAAGCAATGGAGACGATAATACTCTGTAATATGGCCCAAGAGCCCGATTGAGGCAGACTGCTGGCAAGAAGCTTTACAGACAGATATATGCCTGCCAAGACGGCAAGGCCTCTGCCACTGCCAGTCATTTAATCAACAATTTCTCTTACCATTATCCTTATTAACACTAAATCAAAGTGCTTTCAAACCCATTAAAGTCCTTTAGTGAACTTTCATTACTTTCCTTTTATTATGCTAAAATAACAGGGCGGCACTGAAAACCATGTGATACGCAACTTATATAAAGTTAACATGCAGCACGTGCTTCTTACTGGAGCCTGGCAGCAGTGTGTGTGTGTGTGTGTGTGTGTGTGTGTGTGAGAGTCATTTTGTGCATGCCAAAAGCTTTGTGTCAGGTGGACTAGTAGACTCTGCTCAACTTGACTCAGTGGGACTCAGTTTAATTCTGCACTAACTGACCTTTGCTCCTTCCACCAGCACATTCAGTTCTGTGTTTGCCTTTCTCACGGGACACGCACAGACTGCCTTGTAATAGGACCAATAATGCAGTGATAAGACACTCATGTCCACTGACCAACCCCCCTGCTTCTTCTTCTGACTCCACAATTCACTCGTTCTGCCTCTGGCAAGTTCCTAAACAGCCACTGAATGTCAATTTGTAGGAAGAATGTTCTCAGCTGGATTTTGGACTGATCCTGTGGAGGCAGCATGTCGGGAGAAATCAACAGGAGAATTCACTGAGGTGTGACTGACAACCCTGTCAGTGGTGCAACACCAGCAGCAATACCCATAAGTTACACCTGACAGTCAGACGGAACAGATGTATGCTTGTAGGCACCGACGTGAACCTTGTTCCCTACTCAGTCGCTTGTTCTCCAGTGCCTTGGCCTGCCTTTGAAACGCTGACCCAAGGTAAACATTGTTGTGAATTGTGAGAGCGCAGGAGGACACAGGGAGACGCATGGAGACGCATGGAGAAAAAAAACCCCAAAATAATAAATAAATACATAATCTGAAGGTGTTTAGAACAGCTAAGGAAGTTAAATGGACATATCTTTTGCCCTGAAGTAGCTCAGCTGTAACGCATTCTGGGTTTTTAACACAAACAGAGTAAACGTCTAAAGATCACAGATAAAGAACTAAATGGCCACAAGGGATTGCACTGGCACAGTGACTCAG